ATAATGATTGATACAATTGTCTGAAATGTATGGTGTTGTTGGTAACGTGTTCGTATTTGACCTCCTAGTCAATACAGCCTTGCAGAGCGGTGGTTATAGAAATAGTAGGCTTCGGATTGCCTTGAGTTCTTATTAAGATATTGGCTGAAATATCACTTCTAAAGAACAACACTGATTGACTATTTCAACAACACGTTATTAGCACCCGAATGGATGATTAACAATTGTCTTTACACGACTAATATTGCGACTCTGCTGAGGCCAACAGCAACTCTGCTGTGGCCTACAGCAACTCTGATGTGACTATAGCTACTATAATTAACACAACTCTGGTGTGATAAAGACAACTCTGCCTTACCAACTAATGTCGGTTCTTTATATACTGTTTAAATGGGACTGCAAACACCTTATGATGGCGTATTTGAAATATTTGCTGATTGTGATAATTACTGCAATCGATATCGAATTTGGCATATCAGCATTGCCATTACACAATGCAGCATTATCGATTGCTATTACACAATACGCCACCCCTAAAGTGTCTGTCAGTCCCTTGACAGATTAATAATAAAAAAAAATTACGGGAGTTTGTGCTTCTCCTCCCCCTTGGAAAAATTATTGTCCTCAATAATTACTTAAGCATAATTTCATTCTAAAAAAAAATTAATAAACAAACATTTTCTAAATTTACCTAAAACTTCGATAATGGTTACTTAATTCTATAATATAATCTGAAATGTTTCTTGTTTTATATTTGTTTAGGTAAATTTAAAATTACAAAATTTATTTTATTTAAAAAATCAAAATCACAATATTTGCTTAAAAAAAGACACCTAAAAATTTTTTTTTCATTGTAATTTGTTGTAATTAATGAAGATTGCATTTAATTCAATTAAGACAAAATTAAAAATCACAAGTAAATTGATTTCCAGAATAATATATGTTTTTAAATGAGTTGACATATCAGACTTGCTGCTTTATTCTAGTGCTAGTGGAGTCGAGAATTAGAATTAGAAATTGAAATTTGAATATGATATGGCTTCATATAATAAAATGGTACAATAAATTATTATTTATTTCTATAACTCGAGTTTTCATTATTTAACTCGCATTTTACTAATTTTATTTAATATAGAAAAGTTAGTAAACCTTAAAAATTAAATATCAATAATTAAATTAATTGGACACGAATTATATAAAATTCTCGATGTAATAATTGTTTTATATGTGAGTGTAATTTGACTACTATCAGCTTATTTTTTGATACAGTATGCAATTTAATATTCGTGTGTCTGCTATGTCAATGTATGTAGCATAAAATGATGAGGTAAGCAAAAGAGTAGGTTTTTGACCTATTCGATTCAAACTGTTTATAGATTGTTTTTAAATACGATGCTTTTGGAAAATTTATGTAATATATGATATAAAATGTGATATAATTAATTTTAATTTTGATGTATTGATCTAATTGCTACATACTTCAACATTAACCATTAACAATAGATTCATGGGCCCTTTTGATTCATAACTTTTGAAAGACTTCAATATTAGAAATAATACATTTAGAAATAATAAAATATTAGTGGCCATTCAACTTTGGAATCATTACACAATAATTTTTGTATTTTATGTAAATGCGAATTATTGATACAAACGCTTTCAAATACATTTTTGTTTGTAAGTATATAAAAATTTAAATGCACTATAAATTTTTATTTTTCTCATTGGTGTTATAACTGTATCGAACGCTTGAAAATTATAGTTAATTATAATCAATATTAAAATTAATGTTTTTTTTTAAATACGAAGTACTTTATTGTAAAATAATTTAATAAATGAAAAATAAATTTTCAAATTTAATGAGATAATAATTGGGTATTAATATGTTGAACATTAATAATATACTCAAATTTTCAAATAATTACAGAACAAGGTTTTTGTAATAAACATTAAGATTCATAAAGATTCGCAAAGTTTGCAAAATAAATCATAAATGAATTAAGTGTATTCATGTTTTGAAAATTGTATAGTTCACGTTACATGATATTTCTTTATTTAAATTTCAAAATAGAAATTTGATTAATCTTAACACTATTAACCCAAATAATCGAAAGTACAATTAGTATGTGAAAATGTAACTTGAATTTACTTAAAGATTTAGTTACCGTTAATCAAAAATAGTGAAATAATGCAATTATTATAATCGGAAAGAATTTTACTTAAATTTATTTACTGAAAAATAAAGTTTGCTTTTATATAGAAGCAGCTAAAGTTTATAAACATTTTGCGTTCAATAAATTTACTATAACACCATGAAATTAGAAAATCATATTGTATCTATAATTCTAACATAAATATTTTTCTATTTTTTTTTTCTATATTACATTACGGGGATTGTTGTGATTGTAATACGAACATTAATTAAAATTTTCCCCTTCTTTTCTATAACAGTTGGTAGAACGGGCAGTTGATTATTTAAAATAATACTATTTTATTGTTAATAATTGTTCTAAATTAAAAATTATTCAGTATATTCATCGAGCGCAAATAAAATATTTAGAAGGAAAATTGTGCAATTTACTGCACTTTACAAGTTACTTGACCTCTGAGGTTTTTTATAAGCCAAATAGTCATCAATAATATGTTGTTAGTTTTACTAATAAAATTTAATATTATGAGAGACTTTAATACTCCTACAATTATCCTTTTGGGTTTTCAATAACCCTATAATTATTCTTTTGGGTTTTAATAACTCTATATTTATTCTTTCGGGTTTTTTTACCCCATTTATGTCCTTTAGTAATATTAACAGATCTCCCAATAAGTTTACCGGAACTATTAAAAATGTGAAAATCTGAAATAAGAGAACCTTTATGTCTCCTTCACTAATTATTGGCAGATTTCCCAATAAGTTTACCGGAACTATACATGAAATGTGGAAGTCTGTAATAAGAGGACCTTCAGGCACATTGGCCATAAAAATTTGAAGTTATATCATCCTGAATCGACGATATCGACGATGTTGGCGTTAGACCGCTCGAAAGCCGGGTTACTAACTTTATCAACATAAATAAAATGATTCGCGATTGCAGGGAATAAAAATTAATTTTAAATGAAAACTGTATCATTCTGAACTGCGATATCATCTGTGTTGGCGTTAGACCGCTCGAAAGCCGGGTTACTAACTTTATCAACATACATAAACTGATTCGCGAAGTTCGAGGAATGAATAATAGTTGAAGATGACTCCTTTACTCTTCAGAGAATTCTATATAAATTTATTTATTTATTTATAAAATTAAAATTATTTTTTCGCTCGTGATTGTTAAAACTGCTGTAATAGATATTTTATCAACTGTCCGCTGTTATAGAATTATTAACCCAAGCTACCATTCTAATTAATATAATTGACATAAAAATAATTACACTAACAGGTTTTTCATCTACATAATTTCCTACATAATAAAAAAAATTCTCTTCAAATCTTAGATGAACTGGTTGTCATTTCTGGATGTGCAAATTTATTGTCCAAAGAAAAAATGGTCAACTTTGCCTGGGGAGAGTTGCTGACATCTTCTGGTAGTGTGATGTCCGAAAAAGGAAAATAAATTTGTCACTTACTTAGAGTGAGTCGCTGTCGTTGCTTACGGTTCAGTGTTGGTAGAGCCGCCACCTTGCTACCCTTAGTTCCTCGAATTAGTATCGCTGGATTGCTGAAACCGCCCTTGAGTCTGCAGCCTCCGGGGTGTGAAAAACTCGGTTTTCACGTTCACAGGCAACGTCGAATACTAATTCTTCACTACAAGGTATCGCACCGCTGGACACCATGAAATGTATGGTGTTGTTGGTAACGTGTTCGTATTTGACCTCCTAGTCAATACAGCCTTGCCGAGCGGTGGTTATAGAAATAGTAGGCTTCGGATTGCCTTGAGTTCTTATTAAGATATTGGCTAAAATATCACTTCTAAAGAACAACACTGATTGACTATTTCAACAACACTTTATTAGCACCCGAATCATGATTAACAATTGTCTTTACACGACTAATATTGCGACTCTGCTGAGGCCAACAGCAACTCTGCTGTGGCCTACAGCAACTCTGATGTGACTATAGCTACTATAATTAACACAACTCTGGTGTGATAAAGACAACTCTGCCTTACCAACTAATGTCGGTTCTTTATATACTGTTTAAATGGGACTGCAAACACCTTATGATGGCGTATTTGAAATATTAGCTGATTGTGATAATTACTGCAATCGATATCGAATTTGGCATATCAGCATTGCCATTACACAATGCAGCATTATCGATTGCTATTACACAACATGTCATTTGATAATTTTGTATGTGCATCAATTTTTTGGGATGATTTTATTTAAAACTGATAATGAATTCTATTTATCTTTATCTTTATCGTAGTAGGTATAGATGGTAAGCCTTATTGAACAAGAAGCCTTAATATTTATTGAATTATTATTTATTCGAGATAGAGGTTTTTTTTATTATTAGCCACGCTTACATGGAGCATTTAGCCATCCACAACATTCCATTTTTTATTCTAATTATTTTTTAAATTTTAATTTCTTATTGAAAGACAATTATTTTTATTCTTCAATATTAAGGAATAAATTTTATTTCATTATGCTATTTCACTTTGATAAATCAGAAAAACCTTATATGTAGAAAGGTAGAGTCTGTTAATCATACAGTCTGTTTTAAAGTTTTAAATTTCATCATGGAAGATTGTATCCGAAGTACAAAAATATTACTATTTCTTATATTGAGCATTGGCATCATTTTAATAATACATTTATAATGATGTTCATTCCAATTTAATACTTCTTTCTATATTTTACAGGTTCAGACCAATGTTTTTATTCGTATTGGAAAGCAAAATGAAGCTGCTTTGGAAATAATTTTGCAATTGAAATCAGTCGGGCCCTGACAAATCTAGTGTTCATTGGTTGAAGTTAATAATCTGAGGAAACTCATTCAATAACACAATAACTAGGTTTGAGTGTCATATTGCTTTAAGGTATGTTGATTAGATTTGCATAACAATCGGCCTAGTTGTTTTGGTTATTTTTTTTTTGTCTGCTTTCAGACAGTTTACAATGTTTTTATATTTCTTCAAATGCTTTCATCTGACATCATCACTGTCATTTTAAGACTGTAGAAGTGATTTTGATTGGTGGCCATCAAATGAAAAAGCGACATGTCTCATTAAATATCGAGCATTTAGTAAATATTCCAAAGATGTCTGAAGCATTCTGAGGCTGTCTGAAAAATATACTGAAGATTATTAAAAGTAAGTTAAAATATCAATAAGTTTTATTGATTGAATTTTGTTAATAAGTACATTTATCATCGATTTGCAATTACATTGATGTCCTTTTAACACTCAGCAGATTTGAATTTGCCATCGACGTCATCGCACTTTGGATGAAAGCGGCGCTTTAAATATTTTACTTGATTTATATAAAAAATTAAGAAACCCTAGAAAATCAAAGAAAATGTTAAAAAAAAAATAATCATTGAATTAAATATCAAATTTAATAAGACTTTGCATTTCATGATTCGAATGATTGCTTGCATGGTAGCTTTTGTATGGATTAATATATTACAGTGCATGCGTAGTTCTAGTTTTAATAACACTAACAAATACTAACAAAATAACCATCCATTCTATTTTTAATCAATAATCATGTAATCATTTGAATCATTTAAAATAATGCAATGTGTAATTATCATTCATTACACTTTTTATCACTGCTTTCAATTCATAAATTCGTTTTCTGTACATCCAAGTGCGAATTGTAAACCGTTGTGACATTATTACATTTTATTTCTGAGTATTCGGACTAAGTCACATCAACACATAATGTACAAATTGAAGAAAACTGTAGGAAGTGGAATTATCAAGTAATGTATGAAAACTAGGTATTTATTTGATTTATTTTATCAATTAATGATACATCATCAATTATGTATTCATCTATGTAACATAACTAATGTCCTTATTTTTTTTTGAGATCTTTCTAATTCAACTGTCACTAATCTGAAGAAGTTCCACACTGATAACCTTCTCTAAAAGATGTATTCTAACCTTGTTTTGCAGGTTCAATTCTCCACTAATGAACCAACTGCTATCATCAACCCAACAGACTCTAGATTTATCGACTCTAGTCAATCAAACAGTAAGCTCATATCAAGTATCTATTAGGCTGTATGTATCCTTTCTCAAACATTTTAAAAGATGTATTCTAACCTTTTGTTTTTTTATTGCAGGTTCAATTCTCCACTACTGAATCAACTGCTACCATCGACTCAAGCGACTTTATCGACTCTAGTCAATCAAACGTAAGTAAGCTCATATCAAGTATCTATCAGGCTGTATGTATCCTTTCTCAAACATTTTAAAAGATGTATTCTAACCTTTTGTTTTTTTATTGCAGGTTCAATTCTCCACTACTGAATCAACTAAAAGTCGACTCAACCGACTTTATCAACTCTAGTCAATCCAACAGTAAACTCATATCTTAACTTAGGTCTTTGGTCTTGGTCTTAACTTGTTGCCCTGGTCTTGGTTTTGGTCTTGGTCTCAACTTGTTGCTCTGGTCTTGGTATTGGACTTGGTCTTAACTTGTTGCCCTGGTCTTGGTCTTGGTTGGTCTTGGTCCTGGTCTTGGTCTTGGTTTGTTTGGTCTTCCCCTGGTCTCTCCACTACTGAACCCACTGCTATCATCAGCCCAACCGACTTTATCGACTCTAGTCAATCAACCGGTAAGTCTCCGCGGTCTCGGTCTCGGTCTCGGTCTTGGTCTTGGTTTCGGTCTTGGTCTCGGTCTCCTCGGTCTCCTTTGTCTCCTCGGTCTCGGTCTCCTTGGTCTCGGTCTCCTCGGTCTCGGTCTCCTCGGTCTCGGTCTCCTCGGTCTCGGTCTCCTCGGTCTCGGTCTCCTCGGTCTCGGTCTCTTCTGTCTCGGTCTCCTCGGTCTCGGTCTTGGTCTCCTCGGTCTCGGTCTTCTCGGTCTCGGTCTCCTCGGTCTCGGTCTCGGTCTCGGTCTCGGTCTCGGTCTCGGTTTCCTCGGTCTCGATCTCCTCGGTCTCGGTCTCGGTCTCGGTCTCCTCGGTCTCGGTCTTGGTCTTGGTCTCGGTCTTGGTCTTGGTCTCGGTCTTGGTCTCGGTCTCCTCGGTCTTGGTCTCGGTCTTGTTCTCGGTCTCCTCGGTCTCGGTCTCGGTCTCGGTCTCGGTCTCGGTCTCGGTCTCGGTCTCGGTTTCCTCGGTCTCGGTCTCGGTCTCGGTCTCCTCGGTCTCGGTCTCGGTCTCGGCCTCGGTTTCGGTCTCGGTCTCGGTCTTAACTTGTTGCCCTGGTCATGGTCTTGGTCTTCTCGGTCTCGGCCTTGGTCTCGGTCTCGGTCTTGGTCTCGGTCTCGGTCTTGGTCTCGGTCTCGGTCTTGGTCTCGGTCTCGGTCTCGGTCTCGATCTCGGTCTTGGTCTCGGTCTCGGTCTTGGTCTTGGTCTTGGTCTTGGTCTCGGTCTCCTCGGTTTTGGTCTTGGTCTCGGTCTCGGTCTCCTCGGTTTCGGTCTTGGTCTTGGTCTCGGTCTCGGTCGCCTCGGTCTCGGTCTCCTCGGTCTCGGTCTCGGTCTCCTCGGTCTTGGTCTCGGTCTCGGTCTCGGTCTCCTCGGTCTTCTCGGTCTTGGTCTCGGTCTCGGTCTCGGTCTCCTCGGTCTTGGTTTTGTTCTCGGTCTCGGTCTCGGTCTCGATCTCGGTCTCGGTCTTCTCGTTGTCGGTCTTCTCGGTCTCGGTCTTGTTCTCGGTCTCCTCGGTCTTGGTCTCGATCTCAATCTCGGTCTCCTCGGTCTTGGTCTCAGTCTCGGTTTCCTCGGTCTCGGTCTCGGTGTCGGTCTCCTCGGTCTCGGTCTCGGTCTCGGTCTCGGTCTCGGTCTCCTCGGTCACTTCGGTCTCGGTCTTGGTCACCTCGGTCTTGGTCTCGGTTTCGGTTTCCTCGGTCTTGGTCTCGGTTTCGGTCTCCTCGGTCTTGGTCTCGGTTTCGGTCTCCTCGGTCTCGGTCTTGGTCTTGGTTTTGGTCTTGGTCTTGGTCTTGGTCTTAGTCTCGGTCTCGGTCTCGGTCTCGGTCTTGGTCTCGGTCTCGGTCTCGGTCTCCTTGGTCTTAGTCTTGGTCTCGGTCTCGGTCTTGGTCTCGGTCTTGGTCTCGGTCTCGGTCTTGGTCTTGGTATCCTCGGTCTTGGTCTTGGTCTCGGTATCCTCGGTCTTGGTCTTGGTCTCGGTTTGCTCGGTCTTGGTCTTGGTCTCTTCGGTCTCGGTCTTGGGCTCCTCGGTCTTGGTCTCGGTTTCGGTCTCGGTCTCGGTCTTGGTCACGGTTTCGGTCTCCTCGGTCTTGGTCTCGATCTCGGTCTTCTTGGTCTTGGTCTTGGTCTCGGTGTTGGTCTCGGTTTCCTCGGTTTCCTCGGTCTTGGTCTCGGCCTCTTCGGTCTTGGTCTTGGTCTCAATCTCGGTCTCCTCGGCTTCGGTCTTGGTCTCGGTCTCGGTCTTCTCGGTCTCGGTCTTGGTCTCTTCGGTCTCGGTCTTGGTCTCCTCGGTCTCGGTCACGGTTTCGGTCTCCTCGGTCTTGGTCTCGATCTCGGTCTCCTTGGTCTTGGTCTTGGTCTCGGTGTTGGTCTTGGTTTCCTCGGTTTCCTCGGTTTCCTCGGTCTTGGTCTCGGTCTCTTCGGTCTTGGTCTTGGTCTTGGTCTCGGTCTCGGTCTCCTCGGTTTCGGTCTTGGTCTCGGTTTTGGTCTCCTCGGTCTTGGTCTCGGTTTCGGTCTCCTCGGTCTTAGTCTCGGTCTCGGTCTGCTCGGTTGGTCTTGGTCTTGGTCTCGGTCTTGGTCCCGGTCTCGGTCCCGGTCTCGGTCTGGTCTCGGTCTTGGTCTCGGTCTTGGTCTCGGTTTTGGTCTCGGTCTTGGTCTCGGTCTGCTCGGTTTTGGTCTCGGTCTCGGTCTGCTCGGTCTTGGTCTTGGTCTTGGTCTCTTCGGTCTTGGTCTCGGTCTCGGTTTCCTGGGTCTTGGTCTTGGTCTTGGTCTTGGTCTTGGTCTTGGTCTCGGTCTCGGCCTCCGCGGTCTCCTCGGTCTCCTCGGTCTCCTCGGTCTCCTCGGTCTCGGTCTCGGTCTCGGTCTCCTCGGTCTTGGTTTCCTCGGTCTTGGTCTTGGTCTTGGTCTTGGTCTTGGTCTTGGTCTTGGTCTTGGTCTTGGTCTCGGTCTCGGTCTCCTCGGTCTCCTCGGTCACCTCGGTCTCCTCGGTCTCCTCGGTCTCCTCGGTCTCGTCGGTCTCGTCGGTCTCCTCGGTCTCGGTCTCGGTCTTGGTCTCGGTCTGCTCGGTTTTGGTCTCGGACTCCTCGGCTTTGGTCTCGGTTTCGGTCTTGGTCTTGGTCTCCTCGGTCTTAGTCTCGGTTTCGGTCTGCTCGGTTGGTCTTGGTCTTGGTCTTGGTCTTGGTCTTGGTCTCTTTGGCCTCGGTCTCGGTCTCTTCGGTCTTGGTCTCGGTCTCGGTCTCCTCGGTCTTGGTTTCCTCGGTCTTGGTCTTGGTCTTGGTCTTGTTCTTGGTCTTGGTCTTGGTCTTGGTCTCGGTCTCGGTCTCCTCGGTCTCCTCGGTCACCTCGGTCTCCTCGGTCTCCTCGGTCTCCTCGGTCTCCTCGGTCTCGTCGGTCTCGTCGGTCTCCTCGGTCTCCTCGATCTCGGTCTCCTCGGTCTCGGTCTCCTCGGTCTCCTCGGTCTCGGTCTCGGTCTCTTCGGTCTCGGTCTCCTCGGTCTCGGTCTCGGTCTCCTCGGTCTCGGTCTTGGTCTTGGTCACGGTCTCGGTCTCCTTGGTCTTGGTCTTGGTCTTGGTCTTGGTCTCGGTCTTGGTCTCGGTCTCGGTCTCGGTCTCGGTCTTGGTCTCGGTCTTGGTCTCGGTCTTGGTCTCGGTATCCTTGGTCTTGGTCTTGGTCTCGGTCTGCTCGGTTTTGGTCTTGGTCTCTTCGGTCTCGGTCTCGGGCTCCTCGGTCTTGGTCTCGGTTTCGGTCTCGGTCTCGGTCTTGGTGTCGGTCTCCTCGGTCTTGGTCTCGGTCTCCTCGGCTTCGGTCTGCTCGGTCTCGGTCTCGGTCTCGGTCTTGGTCTCGGTCTCCTCGGTCTCGGTCTCCTCGGTCTCGGTCTCCTCGGTCTCGATCTTGGTCTCGGTCTTGGTCTTGGTCTCGGTCTCGGTCTCCTCGGTCTTGGTCTTGGTCTCGGTCTCGGTCTCTTCGGTCTTGGTCTTGGTCTCGGTCTTGGTCTCGGTCTTGGTCTCGGTCTTGGTCTTAGTCTCTTCGGTCTCGGTCTCTTCGGTCTCGGTCTCGGTCTCGGTCTCCTCGGTCTCGGTCTCCTCGGTCTCGGTCTATTCGGTCTCGGTCTCCTCGGTCTCGGTCTCCTCGGTCTCGGTCTCCTCGGTCTCGGTCTCCTCGGTCTCGGTCTCGGTCTCGGTCTTGGTCTTGGTCTCGGTCTCGGTCTCGGTCTCGGTCTTGGTCTCGGTCTCGGTCTTGGTCTCGGTCTCGGTCTTGGTCTTGGTCTCGGTCTCCTTGGTCTTGGTCTCGGTCTTGGTCTCGGTCTGGGTCTCGGTCTTGGTCTCGGTCTCCGCGGTCTCCTCGGTCTCCTCGGTCTCCTCGGTCTCCTCGGTCCCCTCGGTCTCCTCGGTCTCCTCGGTCTCGGTCTCGGTCTCCTCGGTCTTGGTCTTGGTCTCGGTCTCGGTCTTGGTCTCGGTCTTGGTCTCTGTCTTGGTCTCTGTCTTGGTCCCGGCCTCGGTCTCGGTCTCGGTCTCGGTCTTGGTCTCGGTCTTGGTCTTGGTCTCGGTCTTGGTCTCGGTCTTGGTCTCGGTCTTGGTCTCGGTCTTGGTCTCGGTCTTGGTCTCGGTCTTGGTCTCGGTCTTGGTCTCGGTCTCGGTCTTGGTCTCGGTCTTGGTCTCGGTCTTGGTCTCGGTCTTGGTCTCGGTCTTGGTCTCGGTTTTGGTCTCGGTCTTGGTCTCGGTATTGGTCTCGGTATTGGTCTTGGTATTGGTCTCGGTCTCCTCGGTCTCCTTGGTCTTCTCGGTCTCCTCGGTCTCCTCGGTCTTGGTCTCGGTCTCGGTCTGCTCGGTCTTGGTCTTGGTCTTGGTCTCTTC